ATGCTGAGGTTTAAATTTGTATGATTGTAGATAGTTGGTGTAAAAAGCCTGTATATTTCTATGATTAACTGTAAAAGCGCAGCTTGATTTCTATGGTAGTCTATGAAATGATATGTGTTTTTATAGTATTCTATAAAAATAACAACTGAAGAAACGTCATTAAAGTTATGTGCAAGAGTGATTCCCTCATGTTGTACTGTCTTTTCTGATGTTTAATTAACATTTGCTATTATATGATGTCTACGTAATTGATAGGATGGCCAATCTTACTTATGTGTAAGTTTGTTGCTAATGAATCGTGTATTTGACTTCTATATACATTTGTAACTATAAATTGATGATGTATTTCTATGGGTGTCTATGATTGGGTATTGTGTTGTCTCTCCTACTTTCTATGGCAGTATGTTGAGTTGATTTGGTACTACAGTAGTCTATGACGTGACAACAGTATAAATTTTGGTACAGTTATTTTGTTGTGATGTTATTTTTTTTTTTTTTTTTTCTGCATATCTATGTTATAAACCTATGAAACATATGTTATTATGTGATTCTTTGTTTAACTGATAGCCTGACCTAAGTGGCATATTTAAAGATTATTGCTAATGAATTGTGTATGTTTAATTACATGTATACTAATTGTAGTACTGTGGTATACTATGGATACTGTGATGTTCTATGGTTTTCTGTCAATTGCAATATTCCCAATTTCTTAATATAAAGATACTGACTCCACAATTATATGGGATAGGTACTTTTTAATCTTCACCCAAACATGTAACTTTGATCACAACTAAATATGCTTTGTTATATTCGCAGGAGAAGCCATGAATGTTGCGCGAAAAACGAGAAATAGAAGTGTGTCGCAGAAATAAGAAAAGACATTATAGAACACCTTCTGAATTACAAAATCAATTAGCCATAGAGTAGTCTCATTTATTTTGTCTATTGTACGCAAACGAAAACATTTGTAGAAGTTAGGTTTTTCCGCTCTATTTTGTAGTTGTGTTGAAATATTCGAAACAAGCTGTTGTTTATTGACACAATATCTTATCTATATATGCCTTTTGGAAGGTAGCTTTGTTGATTTTGTATACTTTTGTATATTTGGGTATTGGAATACCATACATTATTGTGCAAATGCAGGTATTCAATGAGACAATGCCGAATCCGTAGTACTCACCATACTATAGTCTTCTTTGGCATACTATGAATTACTACATAAATGTTAGATGAGCTCATTAAATGTCAGTGCACCAAAACAAACTGTATTGTATCGTTCTAATGTGTGGCTATTGATGCAATGCTGTGATGATTAAGATTTTAATAATAACTAAACAGTGCAAATAGATTATCTGTAAAAACCATAAACATGCATCATATTTTTCACAAAAAACAAAACAATTTACAAACGAGAAAGAACAGACAAACTTGAGGAAGAATAAATCGTGCAAGGTGTTGAGATATAACTATTGAAAAAATAAATTTAAAAGGAAAACTAAGTAAACACATAAAAGTGCAACAAAACATACCCCGCCAAAAAAAGTTACAATACCGAGAATGAAACAGTTTTGCTGACCCATAAACCCATGAAATTCAGTTTGCTACATTTGTAGAGTTTTGTTCGTTCGGTGTTTGGAATAGTATGCGTAAGGTTGACTAACCACTTGAGGATAATTGTGTACAGATGGTATTGAATGTAAAAATACGGCCGCATATAATATTGCAACATACTACAGTTTTCTTTGGTATATTATAGATCACTACACAAACTTTAGATATGCGGACTTAGTGATAAAGTGCACCAACACTGGCTGGATTGCACCGTTTCTATCTTATGGTAATTGTTGCAATGCTGTCATTATTGTGATCCAAATATTAACCGTACAATGCAATGAGATTCTATGTAAAAATCATAAACATATATGATATTTTCCGGAAAATGTTTCGTCTGTGCACAAATTTATTGTATAGCAAACTCATTATGGAATTGTTCAAACATAAATCCTTAAAAGTAAAATTAAAACAGAAAAATAATTTAAATCAAAAGAATCCCTGAAAAGTACGAAAACAGTGGGGACAAAAACATAAATCCATGAAAGAAAGAACAAACATTCGTCACAAAAAAAAAATTCAATAATGAAATGACACAGGGCTGCCGAAAACATAAATCCATGAAAAGAAACAAAGA